TGCAGTTAAAGACTGCATTTCTTTAACTGCATTTACAATACGCTGAGGTTATACAGCGCCTTGGGTCCCTTATACTCATGATGTACTCACTTCAGTACAATTCACAACCTGGCACATTTCTACCATACTTTTGACAACAAATAATGAAAAAATAATACATGTAAAATTTGCCTCTCTGGAGACTTCCTCCTTGTTTTCCTTGACTAAGACCCAGACATGGCCAGCAGGGCTTGTGGTAATGATGATGGAGGGAACCGGATACCTTGTGGGTAGAAACCAGAGGAGGTCACAGTACACTGTGATAAAATTCCCGAATCCACACGCCAAGTTTCCCTTTGCCTCCTCCTCCACTTTTCCACTCCTCTGCTCCTTCTATCCTCTGCCTCTCCCTCTGCTCTGCTTTCATTCCCCCCTACCTTCCTTGATATCTGATCCGGTAGAGACACTCAGGTTACAGTTTTTACAGCTTAGCTAGCTCAGTGCTGTATACATTCCTTTCTCCCCTGTTTCTTACCCCACTCTCTAGCCTCTCCTATCCTCGCCATGCCCACTCCTCCTTCTCCTTGATTACACACTGGGGCTTATTTTACTGTGGCACACATTATGCAGCCAGATGAAGGAAACACTGTCAGACTGTTTGGTTTTTCAGAGGAGTATGATCCCTCACAAGGGCACATTGTGTGCCTATTTTTTCCTCCAGCTTGGTCTGAAATATTAAAGATGAGAGAATCTAAAACAGAGAAAAGAACAAACTAAGTAGCTTTTTATTTGGAGAAGAAGAAGCAGAGTGTTTCCTGCAGAAGATGTTAATGTTAGTGTTAAGTAACTGGAACTCTGCAGGTCATAATCCAGGGTCCAGATTTGCATTTGAACGTCCATGCAACCATGCAATAAACATCTCATACATTCATAATGACTGCACCTGGTTTTTAGTTATTACTCAAAATACTGAGGTATAAGTAGGTAGAAATGGTTTTAAATATACATTCATTGGTGTTTTCCTAAATGTACTTTGTAGACATGTGTGTGGCCTGTTATTACCCACGTTATAGGGATGTAAATCTGTTCACGGTCACACGGTGGGAACTCCACGTCCTTATGTGGACAGAAACAAGTCCCCACAACATAAATCATTACATTTTAGAGTGATGACTTGGTTTAAAGTTAGGGTAAGGTTAAGTGTTAGGCAAGTAGTGGCTCAAGTTAAGGTTAGGGTAAGTGAAATGAAATGAATGTAAGTCAATGCAAAGTCCCTTGAGGTGGTGGAAACACAATGTGTGTGTGCATGTGTGGATGTACAATAAGAGATGAAATCCAAGGTTACACAATGAGCTACAATCGAACTTATTTAGCCTTTGAAAGTGTTTCGACGTCTTAACCACAACTGCCGCTACATTCAGTAACTTCCCCCAGGTATTGATAAAGATACTGGAGTTGTCATAGGAGAGTGTTGTGCTTCCTGTGCACCATCAATACAGCATCATATCTTCTGTAGGGTATTTGTTTACGTTCTGTATTGACATGTCTAAAAATTCACAGACTACTGACATTTTCATTTGATCAGGTGTGTCTTCAAAGTCAACACTCAGATCTTCCATTTGACTGACTGCGGTTACAAATAAAGCTGATGAGAAATGAAGCCGCTTTCATCAAACGACATGTTTAACTGATATGTCAGCTCTTCAAAACATATTGGAAGAAATGCCAATTCACTGACTCCTGAATGATGATCCCTGTCACAGAATCTAACATAGAACAGTAAAACATTCAACCTGCAAATAAAACATCTTCTCTGGCATCATATAATTACTTGGTCAATGTGATAAATTATCAGAGGAGATATATCATTAGATTCTTTTACACCATGAGTCTAAATAGATTCAGGATTTTTTGCCTATTTACTTTCTGTTAAAAAAGACTAAATTAAATCTGAACTTGTCTTTTAATGTCCAAAAACAAAACATGATTATTCCTCAAGGATGCTCATAATTTTCAACGCTCTGCAGAGACCACTTCTACTCCCTTGATGAGAAACAGAGACCCTGCCTGACACCCCCAGCCTCCCCGAATCCCTCCCTTCTGTCATCAGGACCAGACAACAGAAGGAAGGGTTAACTGTAATCCGTCACAAACTGAATGAGAAATGTTTTTTCTATTTCACAAGGAGTATTTCCAGTTTTAAGCTGTTAAAATTCGGTTATTAAATGAACTCACCTTTCTCTATACCTCCAATTCTTTTTAAGGTAACAAGCAAGGACAACTCTATGGATTTGTTCTGAAACTGTACGCCTCTTTTCGTGCTGCAACAAAACGAAACACACACGGAAAATACAGAAAATACAGCAAATTATCTATAAAAAATATATGAATAACCTACATTATTATGCAATATTACTCCAGTTTATTGACTGTTCCTTATTGCTCTATGAACATCTTCTTTTGCAGGTGAACTAACTAATAACGCATCTAGATCGCCATCAATAAAACAGTATTTACTTTTACAGTGACAGAAAAGAAGCGGAGACACATGAACGCGGTTGGTATTTTGGACTGGTCTAAATACAAAAAGCCTTTATTCCGGGGTTGTTTCAGGACTCGCTGAAAGCCAGCACCCTCGCTTTTCCACTCACAGTCTAAAATCACTATTTCCACAATTATTCTTGGGGTGATCACCTGCACATCCTTCCATCACAGCAAACGCACTGAGTACTTCGTGTGTCTACAGCCAAATGTGTACAAACAATGAAGAGATGAAGACAAAGCGGAGACACACACAAACACACCAGGAACAGTTTCTTTCAGCACAATAAACTGCACGGAGCTCAGGGCTCAAATATCACATGTCCACCGAGCTAAAAACCCACGAACAGGAACAATATACAGCTGAATACTGGGACAGAACCGTGTGGGCCGAACACAAGAGACAATGTGCTCTTGTCGAGCGCGTAAAGCTCACAGACGCACATCTGGATCACAGAATTCTGGGCAGCTGGGCAACATACACACACACACACACACACACACATTAACACCTCGACTCAGAGGCAAACCCGCACAGTGGACACAGGTCCGCATGGGAATCGTGGAAATGCGAGTGTTCCCCCATTGATTTCTACTAATTATGCACATTGGCCACCTCCGTTACGCCGTAGTATGGCAGTATTAATAGTAAGAGTAGAGGCACTGTTGACGCCTTCACTGACGCACTGGATTTTCCATTAACTCTGGATAAGCCACGAAAGGCTAGACACACAAACGGCGAAATTATGACACGAAGCGTCAGAAACATAGTGTGTTCTTTCCTGATTCAAAACTTAATAGTACAACAGTAGCAATGACTGGTTGCCGCATCCATTGTGCAAGGCGGTATATTGGCAGGCTGCGCTGGTGAGGCTGGCATTCAGTGTGGATCTGACAATAGAACTCGGCTTAAAAAACATAAATCAAAGTTTGACTATCATGCAGCCACTTGCACTTGAGTGTATTGTATATTTTCATTGAGAACGCCAGGTTAGTGCTTCAACACACATGCATGCTCCTCACAACCACTTTGTTTCCACGCGTAATCACATGCAGGCACAGACCCCCTTTACCTTCATCTCTTCATTTATTTCCCTTTTCACCGGGCGAGCTGGTTTTCGGCTTCTTTTATTTTCCGGAGGTCTGCCCTCTTTTTCCATCTCTGCCATGTTTTCTCTGTGACACTTCTGTCAATATTTGCGGTGAGGAGGGGAGAGGAGGGGTGAAGGAGGCACCAGCAGCTGTTTACAGTCGCCAGACGGCGGATGTCTTGCAGCTTTGCAGCGGCCCGTGTGACGCTGGTGATGCCGCCGAGGGCTCGCAGTGCCCGGCTAAGTCAGCCATCTTCTGCCCCTATCCTCCACAGTACGTGCGCCAGTGGTGAGCCGCCTCTGTGAGTCAAAGGAGAGGTTGACTGAGGGGAAAAAACGAGACAGGGGGAGGGGCGTCCGCTGAAACATTATATGACGCGTTGGTGATCAGACGTAGGCTATTTCTTCTCGCTTTCCCATGGAGTGCAATCAGAGCAGTCACATCCACTTAGCCCAGCGCGGCACCCTCATGATGACAGTCTGTAAACAGCAAACAGGTGCCCACGCACAGCTAACGAGCTCCACATCGCTTTTCAGGGGAGTGTTACAACCTACTGTTGTTGGTGATAAAACAATCTTTCTGAGTTACAGACTCCACAGCTTTGGCAGTCAACACCTCAAAGTCAGACCTCAAGTCTGCAAGTTGCGTTTAGTGGTATGTGCAGAAACCCAGTCGGTCTGCAGCTGTAAATGTAGTGGGTGTCAGTCAGTGAACGGTTGATTTATTTATCTGCAGAGACACCAAATGTAAGGAGCATTAGGAGCAAGTGTAAAATGAAAACGTCTGTGTGAGTTCAGCCTAAAACTAATTCATATTCGTAATGAGGGAAAACTGCCTCTCAGGGACAAAGGAAGCTTTGTGGGTGTTTTGATCTTGTAATGGCTGAACCATAAAATAAAATTTCCATTCGGCCTCGTGAGTGGTGCGTCCTCTCCCTCAGGTTGTGCGCAAAGAAACCTCCAGGTGTCTCCATTTTAATTATGGTACTGCTCATAGGGTTTCAACACTAATGAAGACGGTCATTATCATTTATTCTAATTAAGGACACTTAACAAAATAAAGGTTTTGTAAAGGCCAGATCCAAACCCAAGAAATCAACACTGAGCCTTAACACGATTTTTAAATGTACTTTCATCATATTCTCAAACACCTGTAAGCTCTGTCCAACAGTCAAAAACAGGCTGAAGTGTTTTCCACATTGACTGTTCAGTAACAATGAACATCTTATTTTAAACCGAGGGTTAAAAAACAAACACTGGAGGTGTACCATAACCACTGTTTCTTTAAAAACATTTATTTCAATAATTGATACGGGGTAGCGGGGCTGTCTCTCAGCCTGCACATGTTCATGTCTCACATAAAAACCATGCAAAATACAACATTCATAAGGTCACATGGGCACACATATACTCATGCCCTCTCCTATATGTCATCATGTATACAGACCTGAAGTTGCTCTTGCAATACTTGTTAAAATTACATGTTGTGATGGTGTTATGACAGTGCCACAGAGTGTTTTAACAGTGGATTTCCACAGGTGGGTCCACCATGCAAAACACTTACTGGCATATGAAAGAGATGCAAATAATAAATACATGACTTCTGCTTTGGGCAAGAATTTACCTGTTCCAGCTGTGTGCTACATGTTGTCCTCTGACTTTAACTGGAATTACAATGAGCTGGCAGGTGGAAAGCCACTGAGAGGGCTGTGTGATCCTGCTTTTTTTTTAGCAGGAATCAGGAGCAGTGAACCGTGATGCTGGGTCAGGCTGAGATGAGTTGTGCTGCTGCTGTTGCACTGCAAACCAGCAGCACAGCATCACAAAACTCCTTTAAAATACAGGAACTGCATGCTGGTTTAGTGTAATACAACTGTAGTGCTATGCAGTAATGTAGAGTGGGTGACTGTGGTTCAGTGGGTAGAGCAATCATCCAACCGCATAGAGGTTTGAATCTCAGTGCCTGCAGTCCACATATGGAAGTGTCCTCGGGCAAGACACTGAACCCCCAAGGTTGCCCCCGATGGTTAGAGCCATCAGTGTGAGTTGGGGTCGCAGGTAGCTGCCATCGGTTCTGTACCGGAAACAAATTCCTTGTGTGTGACCAAGTAAAGGTGATGATCCTTAGATGGAGGCTAATCAAAGCAGTAACTGTTTGAATAAGGAAGTGTGAAGAAAATGAAGAAATTTTTCATTTGTTGACTGAAATTGCAATAAACCATGTATAATCTAAATAAATTGAATTTTGACTAAATAAATATTGCTGTAACAGTTATTTCTAAAAGCACAAAGATGTCTCCAGCTAGTTCCATTTGGACATTATATTGAGAAAAGATGGATCAATAACAAGTTACAGATTTTTTTGTAGCATATAATTGTTATGGTTAAGGTAGGACCCAATGTACAGACACACGAAGCAAGGGAAGGTTCAGGTAGGGCTTTATTAAATGATAGAGAATGAGACTAATGGGGAAAAATACATAGGCTCATCCTGACAGGGGCAAACAAAGACTTCCAAAATGCTAAACTAAACAGTGGGTCAGGGTAAGAAACTAAAGCAAGACTGGAGAAACCAGCGAAAAGAACTGCTGACAGGCCAGGATCACAAACACAAATGAGCAAACAGGAGACAGCATCAAACTTACAAGAGTACATGAACAAGCAGGGTGTGGTGAACGGCAATAGCAAAAAAGAGGACGGGGGGGGGCAACAAGGCGTGGAGACAAAATGAACCAGCAACCAGATTGAGGGAAGGGATGATGATATATCATGAGGAGAGCAGAGGATAATGAGCAGCAGGTGGAAACCATGAATGGTGATTGTGAACCAGGGTAAAGCTGGGGCAGTGTGCAGGTGTTGGCAGGTAAGCCGACATTGGACAGGACGTCTAACCAAAAATAAAAGCACAAAATAGGAAGCAGGACACAAACCACAACAATAATAGCCTGCATTAATACAGTGGGAGTGTTGGGTATGTAGGTCTGTTCAGAAAAGGAGACTACATATTGTGTGCTGTCCTTGATGGACTTTCTCTTGGGTCCAGTAATAAGCACATGGAGTATATTCAATGAAAGCATTGGTAAAACGGTGCCAGGGCATTTCCCTGTCATTCTGTGGGGACAAAATTCTCAAAATTGTCACAAGAATTGTGCTACACCAAATGAAAAATAGAGCTTATGTTTAAAGAGCTGGTTCTATTTGGTATAAAAGTTGTTATCAGCCCCCTGCAGGGCATGCTATGCTAAAGGCAACTTTACATTTAGTCATTTTACAGTTGGATCATCTTTAGTGTATCAGGCCTATATATTCACACACTAACACATTAAGTAATAGGCCCAAATGATGGTTGGTTTATTGATATTTTGTACTCTGCTCATCTCCCATTTAGTGGTTTAAATAGCTTCAAACATATCTTGTTTCAAATGTTTCTTGTTTCCATGTTTCAAACATGTTCGTAGATATCTAACTGTATCTTTAAATGTATAAATAGCTTATATCATGTTCTACCAGTGTGGACCGTGGACCTAATAAACAAATCGATGTAAAACTCTCTGATTTTCAATAGAGTTTGGCTCCGGAAATGCTTTTCATAGACGGGGCGTGTTGGTATTTGGCAACAGACGTCGTTACGTTTTGCAACGTAACGTATCACGCGTTTAAAGATGGCGTCTCACAGTGTCGGGTCGTGTGTGTGGTGAAATATCTGTAGTATTCGTCCAGAGACGTTAAGTTAAGTATGTTGGGATAGCAACTATAGGTACATTTATAATAGAAATGTGGCACTGTTTAAGAACATGTCACAACGTTAGCGGCTGAATCAGGTCGTAACATTTAAAGATGGTACAAGTAACGTTACCTACAAGGCACTTTGGACACCCCCACTAGACTAGAAAAAGCACGTTAGAGTCAAGTTAGAGAGAAAATGCTTCCAGCTACATGGTTGCGACTGACCTGCAGGGCTTTGTCCGGCCGAGGACAGGGGACGCGGGGTCTGTTCTCCAACTCGGCACCTTCAAACTGGACTAAAGTGGTCTCCGATGCAGAGAAGATCGTCGGATATCCAACCTCGTTCATGAGTCTCCGCTGTCTGCTCAGTGATGAACTCAGTAACGTTGCCCTTCACGTCAGGAAGCTAGTCGGGACTCAGCACCCTTTGCTCAACACAGCCAGGTAAACGCTGCAGCAGTCACACTGGTTTGTTCCTACTCGGGTGTTTCTCCAGTGAGTCAACGCCAAACCAAACTACATTTAGACATCTGGCAAAGTAACACCACTCGGTTATAGGCCTGGGGAAGATTTAACCGAGGAATAAAACGAGTGCCACTGAAAAAGACAGGGACAACAATAACAAGCAGCGCGTTACGTCTGATCAAAGTTCCTGAATACAGTGCTTCCTTATTATGTAGAGATGCCTCTAGTTTATGCTTCTCATGCAGTTGTCATTTTTACCTATGAGAGTTTTTCACAATTATTTTATCCATACGTAAAACTGAAATCCAGCAGATCATTTGACAGCCCTCATTTGGTTGTTTAGTGACCAATGCACAAACACAGTTGCCCCCTCCCGCTGAAGCACCCGCAGTATTCCCTGTCATCACGCCACAAGCATGTGGGTGTTTAGCTGTTCATAATCAATACAGAGTTTTTGTCTTATGATAGCTATCAGAACACTTTGTGTGTTTTAGTTTTGTAATAACATCTCAAAATTAGTGTAAGAGCATCATACTCTCAGTTTAATTAGGTGTGTTTAGTGTGCAGTGAAGAGGTTTACACAGACAAAGTCTACAGCTGTTGTAATGTGAGCACATTAGAAAAATTCAGACCCATTAAGAGGGTCTGAGGAAGCTCAGATCCCATCATGTTTGTTTCTTTACAGGCCACACACGAGACTCAAACAACTGTTGACTTTTACAACACAGATGATGATAGTTAATGTTTGGAACCGCATTTCTTAGCAAGCTTTGTTACTACACAACACAACTCTTAGACAGGACCGGCAGTGTCACGGTGTAGAGGCAGTAGTAACAGATGATGTGCTTATTCACTCCTGTGTGGCACTTGATTGATCCGATGCACTTGGCAAGTTGAATAGATGCTATTGCTTCAGAAAAAAAGAAGGCATTTTAAAGCGTGTAGTATTTTTTTCTTCAAATGAGATACGTAAAATGCAAGAATGCTACAAGAAGAACAGTTTTGATCCCTAACTAGATGCACTGAACTTGTAAAGCTGGCTGCTTCCTAGTTGTTTATTTTCATGTTATTTCATAAACTGATGTCTGACGCAAGTCAAAAACATGCGATACTTGACTATTGGATGTGAGGAAAACTACTTTACAGTCTCATAAAAGCTATTAACAAATACACCTCAGAATGTCATGTGAACACGTAGACCCACCGTGTGTGCTCTGCAGTGATTAGAAGTAGCACCGTACACATGATATCAACTGTAGCTCCTTCAGTCAGCAAGAAGCTTACTAGAGAAGTCTGCTGCAGCAACAGACCTCAGTGGCAGCGATGGAGAAGTTCCTCTGGAGAGAAACCAAGGAGAACTGATTACAGTTCAACAGATAGTATACAGAATGTGAATCAGCTCGAGGACATAATGACAGAGTGTGGGGCCGTTTTTGGGAATGCTTAAGATATTTTTTTATTCATATGGGCATTTTAAATTTTGTTTAGAGGAGGCGAAAAAAAGTTATGAATTAATTTTTTTCTTGCATGAATTCTTCACTTTTAGGAAAGATTCAGGACATTGTAAACCAAGAGGCATGACAGGCTGTTCAAACCTGTGCTTCTGCCACATGTAGCCTATGCAAATGCAGCATTTAATATTTAAGTACGACCATTCCCAGTTTGCTCAATAAATCCTGTTTTTCTTTCAAAGTAAATGCTGTAATTTAAGGAATACTCTATATTGATTTCTCCTGCAGACTAGGACTGCATCACAGTCCCCTCTATTTGGGTGTAAATCGACCTGCTTAGATGACTCATTTCCTACACAGCTCTATGGCCACATGCAGTACATTTGCACAAAGCTAATGTAGATGATTTGTGCTGTAACTGCAAAGCCATGATTGTACATTGATGGAGGAGGAGCTAGAACAGGTCACATTTGATGTTAGGAGTTGCCTCAGCTTTCTTAGGTTTCATCAAAGAAATCAGGAACTTGGAGAACGGAACCAAGAGAACGAGAAGAGAGAGTCCTCAAACTCAATCCCATCATGCAGACAGGCGTGTTGGAAACAGGAGCCCAAGGGTGTAATAACCTATACACCTAAATTTGATATGACAATCCATTTAGGTGTTGTAGCAGGGGGCAGGGGGATGACAGTCTGACTCCTCACTGTCAGCTTGGGTTGGATGGTTTGTATTTCCCAGTGTCTCTCCACCTTAGACACACGGCATATAAAAATATCCACTATGGCAGACAGGCAGACCCTTGTGCAGTTGGATTTCAGTTTTTCCTTTCCTTTCATTCTCAAAAACTGGAGCTCAGCTAACTTTGCTCCAAAGTTTGGAGTTACAGTGTGGAGACTTTACTTTCTTTAAGGACAGAGTTGGCCTCTGACTAGGGCTGGGCGATATGGCAAAAAATAAAAATCTAGGTTTTT